GGAAAACTTAGATCTGTCCGGAAAACGGACGAAAACGCAGCACTGCTGCCCGATTCGGTGGTAGTTTCATACAGAACCACAGATCCGCCAAACTCGAAACTCCATGGAGCATTTGTATACACCTAATACCTTAGTCCTTCTCGGCAATAACAACAACGACGACTGCAGCAACAGGAGGGAGAACGAGGACGAGAATCGCTTCTTCAGCGGCACGCTTGAGCTAATTTAATCGCTGCAAATTGCTCGACAATCTGCTCCCCACACGTGAAGCTCGGATATGGGGAGGTGGCCTTGAAAGGGGATGTGGAGTAGCTGCTGGTGTGAATTAGATTACATTGGCATGGCAGTGGACCCAAATAAAAAAGTTAGCTCACTTCTGTGGACTGCAAACAAGCGATAAGCTTGTCAAAAACTGCACTTTTCCAGTTCCCCTCGAATCTCAATCACACAAAACAAATTAAATAAACATAAATTGGTCAGGAATTTGATATGTTTTCAAAACCAATCATTTGTTAAAGAATACCTTTTATTTAATAATTCGATTGAAGTAGTATTTGATCTAGCATTTAACCAGTTTAAAAAGTTACATTTTTATTTCTTTCTTTCAATGAAATGTGTTTTATTTTTTCTGTGCATACATATGTAGGTATATCTCACTCCCTGTCCCAATTTTAATCCTAATTCGCAATGCCATGTTCAATACGCAATGACATTTGAAAGTGGAAAAGGAAAGGAAATGAAGTGATGTAAGCGCAACATTGCACAACCGAATCAGTTTGATATTTTCGCTGTTATGGCTCTGGTCTGTCGATGTTCGCGACTGTCCCATTGCACCGCCCACAGCGGACAATTGAAATTCAATGAACCGCACCACCACCGCTCCAACTGCCAACTTCCAAAAGCCAGCGAAATTCTGCCAAAGTGGGTGGACAAAAGTGCAGGCCAACGGCGTTTAATTGGCCGCACCATGTCCCACATGTGGAATTATAAAGATCCCCATCGAAACGGGGGCGAATCGCAAGGGAATCTGGCTGCGTGGGAGGATGCCTCTGCGATTCATAGGCAAATCGGCATGAGTGAGTTAAGTTCTCATATATGACAGGCGTCATTGAATGCGATTCAAAATTTCAACACTCATCATTGCCATCTTAAAAACTCTTCAAACTCATAAGGCATAGCCATTCAGAGTCGGATCTTCTTTTTAAGCTAGTGTGAGCTTAAACTCACGCTAAGTGAAATTTAATGATGCCTTTTGAATCACTTATTCTATGTGCTTAAGTCCCACGACTTTTTAATCTGTTTTTATGGTTGAAAGCATTTACAATTAAATTTCAAATTAATTGTGTTTATTTTGCTTCCCATAGTTTAGCATCGTTATCATCCGGATGTTAGTGATTCATTTTTGATTCGATCGTTTATCAAATGAAGTTGTTGTTTCTCGCCTTTGTGTGCGGGTAACAATGAAAACCTATTTAAATTTATCTTTTCATTTATAAAGTGCTCCAACTATATACATTTTAATTAAATATTATATATGTATACTCATTTTTGTCGGGGACAAATGTTCAATAAAATTTGTTCAATAATTGACTTTTGTAAATTAGTTATAAAATGTATGTTAAAAAAATAAAAACAAATCCATTTTAAATTTAAGCATTGTAAACACGTATAGGTTTCCGTTTAAAACTAAATTTTTAAATTTCAAAATTTCATGGTTTAAACTTATAGGTTTATTAAAACAAATTAATTTGTATGATCATGAATTATAGTTTACCAATGTGTAATAAAATTAAATATTAAATACATTTTTTAGATGCAATGCATTGTTTCATTTCTCTTCTTTCTCAACCTATTAACATAAACTTCCTATAGTTCAAAACAATCGGATATATGTATGAAACACAGTGACTTCTTTGGAAAAACCTGTTTTATTATGTTTATGATTTTTGTATATAGTTACTGGTAACTGGAATCGCATGCATAAGTCAAGACACGCACTTTTAAAGACCGCTCGATTGCAACGATGTTGACACACTTTCATTTTTTTAGCAGGCTGTGTTAATTTACATTGGCGGCGAGTCAAGCGTTCCATTGGTTTTTCAGCTGGGTTCAACGGGCTGCCATTCGCATCATTTTCATTTTTCATTTTTGTTTTTTTCTTGTGAGCTGGAACTCGGTTACGTAAGTAACGTAAGTGTGGGACTGGGGCGACAAGATTGCTGCCGACTCACTTCTGTTTGTGTGTTACTTTTGGGCCAAGTCGGTTTGTATCTGGGAACTGTGCAGGCCAAGTACAAAGCTCGACGGTCTGTCAACCGGTTTCCACATTACACCATTCTCCGCCCGATTTTTTGGCAGTACCTCTTGGCCAAGATATGAATGATTTAGTTCTTCGCTTGCGGTTCATTGGCCCCTCTAATGCCTTATCGCGATGTTTTGCATAATGCGAAGAGTAATTTTTGGCAATAAATTAGAATTTCCTACTCCCCCGACAGTTGGCTGAATTTATAAGCAAATGTCAGGAATGCCAAATGATTCGAAAGGAAAGTTCCACATTAGTCAGTTAGATAAAGACAAAGAGCAGAAATTTAAATTGGACCGGAGGGCGAGTGGAACCACGCAGTAATTGGCAGTTTCAGCTCACAATGGGTTAATTTAAACGCCTTTGCCTGGTAGCAATTTTTTCGGCTTATTCTGCTCTGACCAAACTCGGTTCCCACATTCAAAATGGTAGTAGCTAGTACAATAGTATCTGTTTCTTTTGCGTGACCAATGCTGGTTCATTGAACTCCCCTGACTTTGCGTCACTGCCCAGTAAAGCTCGACCCATCTAATTATGGCAATTAAGTAGTCATAGCCAAAGTTTGGAGAATAATATGCAAAACAATGGAAATGCTTTGATTTAAAGTCCTACTTGATTTACATAATTTATTCACACGATTATGAATTGAAAGAAAAGGCAACATATCTATTAAGTGTAGAGATGTTTACCTATGAGTGTGAATTTGAACATATGGAATGCAGAAGTATTTGACTGTGACGATTTTTTGCCTAAACCGTGAAACCGTACAATGTGTCACACATGCCTTAACGGCGATAATTGTTATAATTGCTATCTCTACGCACTGAAAATCGTCTTCACAAATTGAATTTCTTTTTTTTAAGAAAGTTTTAAGGTTCTAGAAACCAAATTAAACAAGGAATGAAAAAAAGATTAACATATTAAAAAAACCTGATGTTAGTTTCTTGAAAAATAAATAAGCAAGACAGCAATAAACACACGTATTCTTGCTAATTACTCGGTTTAACAACATTGTTTAGACTATTTCGACTGAATTTATTTATGAAATGGGTGCTAATAGCAATAAACACACGTATTCTAGTTAAGTACTATTTGTAATACTTTTTGTAGACTTTTTTTTTGTATTTATTGAGCCATCTGGTGGATATGCTGACAAAGCGCAGGGCAATATTTATCTCACCATTCTTAAGCCGCCTAGGCAAGAAAATAAATAGGGCAATACTCATTACAAAATTTGTATCGGAAAAATTATCGGAAAATTTGTTGATTACTTTTTTTGACAGTTTCCATTGCTTTTTGGTCTAAAAAGAAATCCACATGTTTTATTAACCACGCAGTAATTGGTAGTTTCACCTCACAATGCGTTATTTTAAAAACTTTTACGTGGTAGAAATTTTTATCGGCTTATTCTGCTCTGACCAAACTCGGTAGCCACATTTAAAATGGTAGTAGCTTGTACTGTAGTATCTGTTACTTTTGTCTGTTACGATTTTAGGCCTAAACAGTAAAACAGTGCAATGAGCAATGATAATCGTGTTCTGCAATTGAATCTCTTTCTTTTCAAGAAGTCTCAAGGTTCTACAAACAAAATAAGACAAGGAAACGAAAAACAGATTAACTTAAATGGCATGATGTTAGTTTCTTGAGAAAAGATTAAGTATGACAGCAATAAACCAACTTCTTGCTAACTACTAGGTGTCACAAATTTTTTTGGTTTTAATTTTGTATGAATTTAATTACGAAATGGGTGCCTTAAGCTTTAACAGCCAATTTGTTATGAACTATAAGTTAGTTTTTAATGGCTCTTTAAAAACTTTTAGAGCTATGAAAATGACGCATCAATTTAAATTTTTTGTATTGGTTGCAAAGTCATTAAAAGTACATCATAGCCCAGAGCTCTAATCATATGCGTTACATTCGACCATTATATTGAGTTCGCACTCGTCAAGCCTCAATTGAGATTGAGAAACTTTCGAGGGTTTTGAGGCACCGTGAAAAAGGGGTACTCGAATTAATTGAGGTTTCGGTAAAGTATTCACTCTTAGCCGAGTTGCCTAAGGCCAACTTCGTCATACTTTTGACTTCGCGTTGGCATTTATTGAGCTATCTCGTGGATATGCTGACAAACCGCAAGGCAATGTTTATCTCTGCATTCTTAGCCCACTTCGGCATGAAAAGTGAAAGTGTCTTGCTCACAGCCTCATCAATAAATTGCGCAATACTCAATATAAAATTTTGATTCACAAATCTTTTCAATTTTTTAACTTGTTTGCCATAGTTTTTCTTTTTAAAAGAGACTCAATAACTTCAAATCTGATTTAAAATTTACAACTAGAACAAATTCGTTTTAACTCGTATAAAATCTTAAGCAAACTAAATTTTAAATAAATGGATTTAAATCCAAAATATCTTTTCAAGTTTTAATGTAAAGAATAAATTTTTGATTTAACAGTTTCACTATTATTACTATTTTCCAAAGGTAAATCTAAAGTTATGTATAAATATACGCTTAGTTGTGTACTTTTATTTCACTCAGCCTATTATTCCAAAGCATTCAATATATCAGTTTGAAGGTTATTTTAATTAGCGGATATCATTATGTGTTGGTAGCCACGGTCCTATTTGTTTGACCGCTCTTGCTCGAGAGCACAGACACGCACACACTCATGCACACCAAAGGACACCATGGAGGACTCACCTTGACAGTCGCGGCAGTGGAACAGCGCTGCAACAGCGGCAACAACTGCGAACTGCGACCATGTGATGATGGCTAATCCTCGTCCAGTCGGTGTCCTCGTCCTGGTCGCTGATGTTGTTGTTGTTGTTGCTGGTCCTGCTGTTGTTGGGGCTTCTGTTTGTCCCTGACGACGCGTTTTCCACGAGGTGGTTTCCCTGACCAACCTGCTCGCTTTCCTCCACATTTTCGGCGATTGAAACAAAAGGCGGAATCAAAGCAAAAATAATTTCGGTAGCTCCTAATTTCTCCACTCTCTGCTGATTTTTGGGTGGTGCGGTGGTTCCCGGGAGCCTGCGCTTGCGTGCGTGGGTGAAAATGCCCGGGTTCCGGTGGGCAGGTGCTTCCCGGGGGCGGGGCTCAGGTGGGCATTCAGAATTCGTCGCTTTGATTCTGTTTCAGATTATGTTCTCCTAATTTTGGTGGGTTCTTTTTATCTTTAAAGTTTGCCCAAAACTTGGCTCAAAATGTAGTAATCCTTTGTCCTTGTAGAAGTGCTTATTTCGAGGACTTAAACTCCTCTATACACACACATGCCTTCGATATATATATACATATATCTGTATGTACTGCGTTTTGGTTGCATTTATTTGTATGATTTAACTTTTATCTTTAAGTTGCATAACATTTATTTTATTGTGTATTTCCAATAATGATATTTAGCTCACTTATGAATTTCTCTTAGAAATTTCTCTTAGAAATTTCTCTAAATTATTGCACAATTTTCACATTAATATTTGTTGTGATGGTTTAAACGTAATTTACTTTTAGTAAATCTTGTTTTTTGCTTTGTTTTATTTGATTCGGTTAAATAACTATGTAAAACGAAACGAAAAAGTTTTATTTCGGGCTAGGCCCATCCTGGTTTTTACGGGATTTTAGTTCGCGCACTATTTTTTTTTTGTTTTTACATGGATGGAAAACTTAAATTAGTAAATTAAAAGTCATTTTTGTTATCCGGCTTAGGTGCAGTTTTCGTTTATTGTTGAAAATTCGGTTTGGTGCATTCTCTTCTTTTGTTGGGTAGATTTTTCAGCGCCAAATGAGTGTGGAGGAAAGTGATGCGGGAAAAAAGCGTTACGCGCGTCAGGGCGAATCGAGCTTCAGACTTAGTGTGGCCACAGCTGGAGCGATGGAATTCCACTTTGGTGTGGCTGTAGTGGAGGCAACACAAGATACCGTTAGCTGCTGGAAAATATACCAAAATAATTATTGTTACTTAAGAAATATACCAATACACATAGGCGTTTGAAAAAGAGTTGGGAATTAAAGTAATTAAATTTTCATTTGTTGAACTGAATAAATTCTTAAAATATTTAAAGTAAGCCAGTAAGCACTACAAATAGTAAACTAATTAAAATCAAACACTTTTCTTAATATAAATTATTTTAAAGGTTTTCATTTCTCTTACTAAAGTTTATTGAATCAAAAGATTACATCTTTTATAACTATATATTTTGGATTGTTTACAAAACCTAAAGTAATAAAAAAAGTTGTAAAAGGGCTACAACAGTCATAAGCCGTACACTTTTCTGCTTGTGACCCATTTTAAAGCTCAGCAACAGTCCGTTCCGATATTAAGTTTAGCTGGCAGTGGCGCCAAACGTGACCGTTAAATTCAAACGTATGTGGCTAAGGCCAAAATCATTAAACAAATGTTTAAACCTCTCCTTTCTTTTTAAATTTATTATTACAACACTGTCTTTATTTCGACCACAGAGACCACAAAAACATGACAGGACGTACAGGAAAACAAGCAATGCAAATGACTTCACAACTGCATGGAAAAACCGTTTGTCTGTGTGCGGTTTCGTTGTGCCAACTTAAAACATTTGCATTTGCGGTCTAGTCTTTTTGCTTTCCCAGCCGCAAAATAATCCTTTCAGTTCCTGTTTGTGGGGACTCTGTATATATATTTTATGCAATGCTTGTGTAAGGAAGGCAAAGATTTGATTTTTATACATTTAAATTACAATTGTTTCTTAAGATAGGAATTAAGAAGTACTCTGGGTGATAGCATTGAAAACATATCGATGGAAGGCTGCTTATAAAGAGCTACTTGATTGTGAGTAAAGAGCTATGTATGTTAAGAAAGGGGGTGGCGGCTATGACAGCGTATCAGGCAAAAGAGAAGGAGCTAAGCTTTTACTACAAGCGCGTAAAATCTTTTCGTCTTCCACGGAGGGGAATATAGGGGAAGAGTAAGTGGAAGCTGGGAATGGAAGCGCAAATTCTGCGCATGTGCTTTTCAAAAAAACATAAAGTGGTCCATGGTGGAACTTATTTATTTGCCGGCATTTGTACAATAAATAATTAAAAATCCTTACAAAAAGGAAGTTAAACAACATTTCTCTGCCTCTTCATCATGAGTACTTAATTTTTTTTTAATGTTATTCGTCAGAACCAATTTTAGTTTTTGTTTTTTCGAGATTAAAAAAATAGCGAATTATGGGATTCCCAAGTTTAAAAATTAACTCTGGCGACATCTGGTGGCTATCTTACTTACTAAACGACTACGTACGATTTCAAGATTTCTTCGATTTCGAAAATAGTTCGCTTCACGTAAAACTTGTTACTTACTTATTTTATATAGAATATACCTTTGTAAGTAAGTAGAAATAATTGACTAAAATCATCTTTTAAAAGGCTTAAAAAATTAAAAAGCGCTCCAGTTCAATTTTACCTAATAGTACACACTAGCTGTGCCTTTCTAACACATGCATGTCTGGGGCCATTGTGAAAATCCAGACACCGCAATATGTACGTATAAATATAGAATAAATGGCTAAATATATGTACATATATGCTTTATAACAAAAAATATAACTTAAGTAAATATTATTATTATTTAGTAAATATTAAAAGGAAAAATAGAGCTTTAATTAAGTATAAATGCACAGCCTTTAGCCAAATTTACCTCCGCGGCTTGAGTCCGCACTAAGCCAACTCGAATTTATATTGTATATTTTCAGTATATTCCGACCATTATAGGGTATTTTTGAGTGTGTTCTGCGTTACACCTTTTGGGATCTTCCATCGGCCTCGCCACGGTCACTTTGATTTCATCGAACGGAACGGACGTGTTTCTGTAGACTATTTACATTTACAAAATTATTTGTAACAGATAGTGAACCGCGTATACATAACAAGGTGTAGCAGACGATGCACTGATGTAAAGTCGCAGTGCCAGTGAAACTTTTTGGCGTGTTCCCCGCGTGGAACTGCATTTTTTTTTGTTTCCTCAGTTTTGTGTGTGGTGTGCGAGCAAGAGAGAGCGAGTAAAGAGGAGCGGAGCGAGGCGGTAAGTACCAATGGTTAGACAAAGACAGAAAGAGAGCGCAAAAAGCGAACGGCAAAAGGCGAGAAATGGCAAAAAAAAAACAACAACCAACGCCTTGCCTTCGCAGGAAAAACTGAAAACCCCCAAAAAAAAACTGGAAACCCTTTGCCAGCACACTCAAAATATGGAATAGCTGCCCATTTTATATTCTTAATCTGGGGCTGAGCCTGCTCAGCTGGACGGAGAGGGAACAAAAAATCAAAGCAGGCGCTGGTCGGGAGTTCATAGAATTAATCTTATTGTAATTTTATGTAAATGCAAAATTCAAGCTTACGTTTTATCTTTCTCTCACTCTTAATTATAGAAAAATTACCGTGAAATTTTAGCACTAGCCGTACGTTATTTTGTATATTTTTGTACGTATGTACGTGTACGTGCCCCTCGTCCGTCTGCACCAATGTGGATGTAGATGTGCATCGTAGAACTCGCGTATTTTCATACATGGAATATCTAAAAATTCCGGATAGAGCGAACCACGAGTGTCCAAACGAGGAGAGATAAAGCTAATTGGCCAAGGAGGTGCAAATAAAAAGGAGGAGGAGGAGGCGTAGGGCTTAACCAGGAGTGAAAGCCGGAAAGGATCACGACGTAACCACTGCCTTTGAGGCAGCGGATCTAGCATCAGGATAAACCGAATACCGATAGGATCACCACATCATCTACTAATCGAGTGGAGTCCCCAAGGACATCAGCAGCAGCACAGGAAGCGGTAAGTTCTCGAGTTACACTGCATTCACATCCGAGCTCTTCTTTTAGTGTAAATAATTCGCATTAGTTATTGTTTTCTTAGTTTAACGCACACACTCCACCACAAACACTCCAATACGAATGCACTCCCAATCAGTGATCCCAATTAGAACAGCACCCACACATTGCTCCAACTGGTTTTGTTTACAAACAAACCAGAAACAAGTGAGCCTTTCTGCCAGCAAGGTTTTCATTTTCCTTGCCATCGAGTGAAAATGGGCGTCCAACTTAAGTTGCAGCGGCATCTTTTTCTCTGACTGGAAAACAGGTTTTTTCCTGGCGAGGTGCTTGGCCTCAAACTGCAGCGGAGTTGGTTTTTCTAGGCCACAGCAGAGCGGCAATCGGCACAGCACAGTGAAAACTGGCCAAAAGCTCTGTCAAAGCTAATAGTTTTTGGACATACATTTAGGATAGAATAGCAATTTAAAAAAAAAACGCCAAAATTATGTATTTTTAAAAAAAAATTGCACTATTTTCATATAAAAAGCGTTCGATTTTTGTAGAACATTTGGTTTTGATCAACAAATTTCCAAATAAAATACAATTTTAATATAATTTATTGAGGGTGTATGTATATTGTTTTTAAAGTATTCAAATATTAGATTGCATTTCTTAGAAATCCTTGATTACTTTTCTGTGAGTAGAAAAGGGTAGTTTTTTGTTAGTTAAAATTCAATCGATTCTCAGCAAGTATTATGTTTTTGTTTATGAAAGGCTTGGTCATAAGACCCTCAAAGGTTTTTTTAAGCTTGATCAGTTTTCCGAGTAAACACTATGCTGACACTGATGAAGCAGTTGTTATATTCTTATCAATCAGCATTATACCTAGTTTAATTAAATTTGCTTAACAGAACAACAAAGAAATTCCCTTTGCTCGAATTAAGTGATCCACTTCTGGTAGTTTCTACTGTGCTGAGGAAAGTGCTGACGGAATGCCAAACTGGTTGCGGCCAAACAGCCGACAGCGGACCATCGCTCACCTCCCACGCCCGCCAGCTGCTGCTTCTTTGTGGCTGCCTTTGTGTTGTTCGGCTTTAAGGCCAGTACTGACTAATAGCGCCACTTGTTACGGTGTGTCACCCATTCGCTAGTACTTGGGTTCCGATCCGCTAGTGACTATTCCATTGATAAACCCGGCGATAAGGTGGCGGGCCATCTTCGAAAACATTTTGGATGTATACACGGCCCACGAGTGACATCATACTCCACATTCCAATTAAATAGCTCAATTAAGTGAGAGTCTGGGAGAAAAAGTGGTGAAAGAGGGAGTGCATTCTCTGAGTTTACTACGGAGCTCTTAGTCATAAGATCTAAACACATGATTTGCATGCCGTTTTTTGGTTGCTTTCTCACACACTCGATTCGATTCACAAACGCATGCATCATCTCACGGCTTTGAACCATAATACGCCAAGCATTCCTTACATTGCCAACCCATTTTCACTTCCATTTCCATCTTACTAACATTACGATTTGTACATCTGTTTTGTTCCGGCCGCGGTTTTCTTAACTCTCCGTGTGTGCCTGTGCGTGTGACCGTGCGATTGAATGCGTGTGCAGATCCTCCGAAGGTCCTCCTATGTTCCTACAACAGGGAGGGGGTGGGAAGGGAACCAGACCACAGTCGACACACCAGCAGAACCACAACCACCAAGCCCAGCACCACCAGACGGCGCACTCGCACCACCATCACCTCCAGCAGCAGCAGCAACAGCAACAGGCAGTTCAACAACAGCAGCAGCAGGTGCGGAGTAGTATCCTGCACCAGCAGCAACAACAGGAGCAGCAGGCAACCCACGCACTGTTTGTCCCGAACCACAGCGGCCTACACCACCACCAGCAGCAACAGTTGCTGCAACAGCAGCAACACCAGCAGCAGCAGCAGCATCACCACCTCCAGCAACACATCCAGCAGCAGCAACAACAACAACAGCAGCAGCAGGTGCAAGCACAGGCCCAGGCTCAGGCCCAGGCCCAAGCGCACCACCAGCCGGTCATCTTCTACCCGCAGCCGACCTACGCTGCCCACTCCGCGTCGACAAGCAACAATGCCAGTGGCGGCGGCGGCGCTACCCTCCAACTGAGCGCCGCCGCCAGCAACAACTCGTTGGGACATCCTCAACCACATAGCCACCATGGTGGAGCCAATGGCGTGGCTCCTGGCGCGAACCTAACCCGTGCGTTAAGCAACCCAACCTTGCCACCCCATTTTCCGCCGTCAGCTGGTCTGAATGCGGGTGGTGCGGGGGCCACCTACATCTCGGCAACCTATATACCCTATAACCCGAATGGACAGCTCATGGGCATGCAGTCGGCGGTGGCCTTTCCCACAAACGGAGCGGCCGGAGCTCCAGGAACCGCCTTCTTTGCGACAGCCCAACCTCAGCCGCAACAGAAGACTGCCGCCGAGTGGCCAACAACAAGTACCTGGCGGGGCAGTTGGAGCTGGTCAGGCGCCAGCGATTACCTACTATATGACCACGGCACAGAATAGCGCCGGTAACAATGTGGCAAGTGGTGGAAACTCTCACAGAGGCAACATTCGAGGCGGCCAAAGGGCTGCGGCCACCGCCCCGCACCCCAACTACTATACCACATACACCGTAGGTCAGCCAAATGCCCCACGTCCCGCTCCGGCAACGGTGGCTCCAATGATTAACTCGCGCAACGGGACGCTGAACGGAGCGGCGGCCTTCCACATTCAGCCCAACTTCATTCCGGGAATTACTTTGGGACCACCAGCCGGGATGACGGCTGCTCCCATACTAACTTCTGCGGGAATGGCTGCTCCGCCTCCTCAAACGCCGGGGGGTTTGCATACTTATGCGGCGCACTTGCAGAGCAGCAGCACCACAGCGTTGCCCAGTGTGCCGAGTGTGGGTGGAGTGCCGCCGGTGGCCACTGGATTCTCAACCACTTCATTGCCCACTCCGCCAGTGGTATCCGCCCAACAACTGGGAGCCAACAACGACAAAATCAGCCAGCGTAAATACGCCATTCCCATCATCCATCCGGACACCAAAGAGGACGTGTTGAATCCAAAAAGCTCGGTGTTCATCAAGAAGGACTCGAACTCGACGCTGACACCAAGCACGGCACAGGATTCTGATAGCACCATGTGCCTTTTCCAGGCACCCATTCTCATGGACTCCGCCTCGGCATCGTCCCTTTTGTCTGGGGTCATGGTGGATCAGCAGATGCAGACTGTGAAGTCGGCGTCTTGTCTTGGCCAGTCCATCTCCTCGGAGAAGTGTCCTGGGTTAGTGTTTGGCGAAGATGTGGCCGTTCCGGATGCCGGACAGTCACCTTCACCCGGGGCCACGGATAAGGATCAGATCAGTGTTATTGTCAAGGATATACTACTGGCCCACTCGGGCAACACCGAAGAGCACCTTAGTTTCTTGCAATACAGCGACGGTGAGTTTATAGATGCTGCTTGATAAAAATTAATGTAGATATTTGTTTACTTATTCTTATTTATTTTTAAGACTGTTTTGGCATTTTGCCTAATTTCGTAAATTTGCAAATAGGAAAAAAAATTTGAGTTCTCCAATCCCATTATGTATATAAAACTGAAATCAACGAAGGCATCCCAGTAACCTGTTTATTTTAAATTTGTTTAAAAGATCGAGTTAAAAAAGTCTTTAAAATTCAAATTTTTTAACATCAAATAAAATTGAGGCTTAAACAAAAACAATAAGAAATTTTAAACAAAAGATTTTAGAAAAAGACCCACACAGGGTATGTAAAACGTCGGGACGCCGAAGTTGGCCGGGGTTTTAGTGTTCATGTCTAATGATTCCTTTTGCAGTGGACAATGTCACGGAGACGCATGATAGCCTGCCACTGGTACACTCAGAGTTAAATCTGCCCGAAGTCATCGACGCGGGCCAGCAGCCCGTCCTGTTCCAAGAGCAAGCCAAAAAGCAGCGCCCCAAATCGGCCAACAAGCAAAGTAAGTGTTAGCCCGTAAACCTTTAGCCCGTAAACATAGAATAATGTATTTGCTCGCAGGCACCGCCACGCCGACATCCATAGCGAATGACGTGGCCGAGGCAGCGGCCAGCGGATGCCCAGGCATCTCCATTTTGTCCAGAAGCCAGCCGATGCTGACACCAGCAGTACACTCGACACCGCCGCCAGCCTCACGTGTCGCCCAGCAGAAGCCAAGCAAGTCGATAGCTACCACAGCTGTTCCGGCGCCGTCCAAGCCAGCAGCGAGCTCGCCCAACAGGAAGTCGGGTGTTCCGCCCGCCACCTCGACCACAACTAGTTCGGGGGCCTCTTCGTCGGCAGCCTCCACGCCGACACACACATCTAGACAGCCGCAGCGGCAGCAGCCAGTCAATCTCCTGCAGCAGGGGAAGCAGATCCCAGGAAAACTCTCAGCTGCAGCATCACCGGCTGCCTCCCGCATCTCGGCCGCCGTCACCCTGCTTGCCGGCAACACCGCTGCTACCAATAACACCAACAAGTCGACTAAAAAGCAGCACAAGGCCCAGAAACGAGCGAAGGAGCTGGAGAAAAAAAAACAGAAGTCCTCGATAACAACCACCACAAGCAGCCAGGGGCAGAACCAGAACAACAATGGCAAGGGCAATGGCAACGGCGCGCCAGAGATCAACTCAAACAACAACGCGGTTACCACAACATCAACAACCACGGTAGCGGCAACAACCAAACAAGGAACGACTGTATTCGACGACAAGGCGACGGCGCAACCGACGACTGATAAGCTTAGTGCAACTAGTAATAATCCTAACGTAAGTTCTACTCTAAGAGACAACCCCTTGCTCAATCCCAAGGAGCACTTGACGAGCAACAACAACAACAATGACGAGGATGACATGGATGTGGAAGCCAACAGCGATCCTGAATGTGAGTAGACATTACAAAAAAAAATTTTCTTACTTTTAAATCAAAAATTATGGCCCAGCGTCATTGTTCTCGGAATTTCATTAATGAGCTTACGATTTCCCGGAACTGAGCTATTATTTTATTTTATCAAAAACGGACTGCACAACCACATTTTCCACAACGTGAACTATGTAGTTCGCGGTTTCTAAATATGACTTTTGTATCTCCAAATGTATTTTTGACTCGTAATAATTGCTTTATAAATGAAATGCTACTTTATATTTATTATTCTAACAAGTGCTGATTAAATGTTTTGTTTTTCCACAGCTGACAGCAAAGAGGATAGCAACAGCATGGCAAATAATCCAGAAGTCAAATTAGAAAAGCACTTGGCCAACGATGAGATTGTAGCCAAGTTCCTGCAGAAGGGCAGCCCCAACACATCCGCCGCTCCCTCAGAGACCCAACAGCTGCAGTTCCTCAACAGCAGCAGCTCAGTGTGCGAAGATGATGAGCCAGTTCCAGTGGGTGCTGGTGGCGTGGGAAAGGTCGAGGAGAATGCTGTGGTTGAACTCAAGTTTGGGGATTTCCATGAGGAGACGCGCCACGAAACAGGTTTCATATGCAGCTCCACATGGTCAAGTTCGACGATCAGCAAGGCAGCAGAGGATGAATCCTCGATAAGCAGTCGAAGCGCGGATAATGTGGACTGCGCTCCCAAGGTTAATGCACAGATTTCCAGAGAGAAGAGCGCTGGCAGTAAAAAGGGCTCTCCACTACATCAGGCAGTCGGAAAAGGTCCGGGATCACCAAAAGCCAGTCAGCAGAAAATAGCGCAGTCAAAAAGTCCCAGCCAGAGTCCCGGTCCCAGTCCTCAGGTCCCTAAAAACTTTCGCTACAGCATCGAAACCTTGCGTGAGCTGTCCAAGCGTAGCGACTCGCGCAAGCCACCCATGGTGCCCTGCCAGAAGGGCGACTGTATCTCGCAGCTGTTTGTCTCCCGCCAGCAGCAACCTCAGCAGCACCATGGCCATGGTCACGGCCAGCACATCCAACAGTACCAGCACATGAACTTCAACGAGTCGATGGACTATGTGCCCGGAAAGCGCGGGCGTGGTCATGGGCCTAACAAGAAGCATCACGACGGACATCAGCAGATGGGCGGGTCCGTTAGCATGGGCAACATGGGTGGTGGCGGAGGTGGTGGATCCAACTCAAATCAGCGCCACATGGACATCATCCGGGTGCAGTTGTCGCTTAAGGAGGAGATCAAGCTGTCTGAGTGCGAGAACGCCTGGCAGCCGGGTACCCTGCGCCGTGTTTCCATGGCCAGTGGTCAGGATGAAGACGACGACGTCGAGGGCGTGCTGAAGAAGGTGCGCGGTATTCTCAACAAACTTACGCCCGATAACTTCGAGGTCCTTCTCAAGGAGATGTCCAGCATTAAAATGGACAATGAAGCCAAAATGACAAACGTAAGTTAACGCTTAATTGGATCAAGTATATTGATTTTAGCAGATTAGAAAGGAATATTGTAAAAATATTTGTTTTCGGTATTAACTTTATAAGAGCTCCACTCTTCAAAACCTTTTATGGCAAATACTATAACCGCTACTACTTTCCAGGTCATGCTGCTGATCTTTGAGAAGACTATTAGTGAGCCGAACTTTGCGCCCACATATGCCCGCTTCTGCAAGGTGCTTTTCCACGAAATCAAGGCCGAAAACAAGTCACTCTTCACCAGCTCGCTAATTACACGCATTCAACACGAATTTGAGTCGAATGTGAACGATGCCAATGCGAAGGCCAAAAAGCTGCAGCCGACAATGGATCGTATCAGCCAGAGCACGGACCCGGCAAGGAAAGCAGAGTTGCGTGCTGAGATGGAGGATCTGGAGTACCAGTTCCGTCGCCGTGCTTGGGGCACTGTTCGTTTCATTGGCGAGCTCTTCAAGCTCCAGTCGCTAACCAGCGATCGAGTGCTCAACTGTGTGGAGTCCCTGCTTGAGCACGGATGCGAGGAAAAGCTGGAGTATATGTGTAAACTGCTGACCACTGTGGGTCATTTGCTGGAGGCCAGCCAACCCGAGCAGTATCAGTTGAGGGATCGCATTGAAAAGATCTTCCGCCGCATTCAGGATATTATTAACCGTTCTCGAGGAACGGGCCACCGCCAACAGGCGCATATCAAGATAAGTAGTCGGGTGCGGTTCATGATGCAGGATGTGCTTGATCTGAGGTTGCGCAACTGGGATCAGCCGGTCACCCAACAACCTGGTCAGCAAACCGGACGCGGACAGCGCCACAAGCAGCACGACGATCCCAAGGATCAGTCGCACCACAGCAGTGGCGGGGGAGGCGGTGGCGGTGGTCGTGGAGGCGGCATGAACCAACACCAGCAGCCGATTCACCACCAGCAGCAAAAGCACCACCACCAGCACAGTCACGACGGCGGAAACTATTTTATGCAAAAGATGCCCAACAAACAGCACCAGGAGAACCAGACCCTCAGCATTGATCCGAACAAGCTGCGATTCAGCAGCAGCAGTGCTAGCGACGATTCACCCGCCAAGCTGGGCAACTCATCGAACTACCAGTGGCGCAATGCGGGCAACCGTCCGGTCAGCTCGACGCCCGCAAACTCATCCAGTGTGCCACCGCCGACGTCCTTGCTAAAACGTCCGGGCCAAAACTACAGATTCTCGCCGTACCAGCAGCCACCGCCCTTGGGAACATCCTTGCCCCCAGCCAGTGGAAACAGAAGCCATGTGGAACACCCAGCAGATGCCGGCTTCGATGGCAAGCAATGCCAAGAGCTCATTACCAAACTAGTTGAGGAGGCTCTCAACGCGCGTGACTGGCAACCGGAGGTGCTGACCATTTGGCGCTCGCACAACGGCACGCAACAATCCAAGATTCTCCACTATCTGCTGATGGACTACCTCCATAGGGGCACGGTAAAGCGCCAGCAGCGTCAGGCCTGTGCCAACGTCTTTGCTTACCTAATGGGCAAGGATGCTGTGGACAAGGAGATCTTCGGACAAGCGTACTCCAAGTTTGGCGACGACTTCCCTGATCTGCTGGTGGACGTGCCCAACGGCTGGGGCTATGTGTTTGAATTCCTGGGTCCGATCATCCATTCGGGACAGTTGGACCTGAAGGATGTGTGGCAGCGGCGCTGGCTTGAGAGTCCGATATTTACGGAGCGCTTTGTTTACGCCTTCGTCAGTTTTTTCGTGCAGGAATTTGGAGCCGCCTATGCCCGCAAGCTGTGGCACAACGACTACAAACTGGACCGAGGACAGTTATTCTGGAACGATGTGCGCAAGTATCGAGAATTTGTGCAGTCAAACAGCTTTTACTTTCTGGACAACGGACCCGGCCAGGGACAGGGACATGGCAAAGGGAAAGCGCCCACAACACCACGATCACCGGTGGAGCATGTGGAGCGGATTAGATACCTGCTGGCACTGTCCTGCGACATGGCCATCGACTACATAAACACCAACGTAGCCATCAACGACAAATTTGTGAGGCAGCTCACTAGATTCCTGTGCTGTGATTTCGCGCTGACTGTGATGACAAATACCCACAACAACAACAAGAGCGGAGGCAACGCAAGGCCGTTGCAGCTAAACACGGAGAGCTTCCGCAGCCGGTGCACACCACTGCTGCGACTTTGCATCGACGCCCAGGAGGCGCTGGAGATCGCTTGCATTGACGAGGCCGTCGACTCGCTGCAGCAGCACTTCATGGCCGAGTTCGAAGATGAGATGGCCGCGGGCGAGACCATCTGCAGTACGTTCAGTGTACTGTACGAGAGCGAGGTGATCCCCAAGGAATCGTTTGACAAGTGGTACAAGTTAGAGATCGCGCACTCGTCTGCCTACCGACGTCCGTTTATCGACAAACTGCGTGGCTTTATCGAGGAGATGTAGATAAAGCTCGATGATAAAAACCAGCAACCATCTGATTGAAACCAAACCAAACACCACAACGAAGCAAACTACCAACTGAAGCATGCAGCAACATCGTTTGAAACCCATCCTCAGACTAGGCGCGGTCGTAGGAGTCCAGTCATAAACACAACTCAAACGATCAGTCTAAAATGTTGCTTGTAAATCTTGCAACCCACATTGGGTGACATAACACACCCTAACACACTTGCATGTTGTACGATGAATAGATCTGTCAAAACGAAAATTTCTTGTTTTTCAACACAGATTTCCTTTGCAAACCAAACCCTTCAAGACACATTATCCATTTTATTTGTATCACAACACGTTCCTTAAAACAAAGCTAAGATGATTCCCTTTCTATGACTTGGTCATAATTCAAAGCAAAGATAAACATATTTACACATTAACCGTATTAAATAAATAAAAAGAAAAAAAAATTGACAAACTATGTATGAAAGAATCTCCGATGTCGAAAATATTTCCAAAAAATCAAGTTCTGTCAAAGCGTTACCCAAAAAAACAGGGTATATTAATATATTTATGTATAATTACATTTAGACTATTCACTTTCGTAAACCCACAGTATTTCGTTAATCATTTAAATTAAAGCGTACATCATTTATAGGCTTAGCTGCGTAGCTTATCATACCTTTCTAGACTTTAAAAGAATTTTTGTTTATTTTACCTTTCAGTACAAAGCCTTACGAATTCGTATTGTTTGTTTGATTTATTATAAAATATTATCAACATTTATTTATGTATTTTCAATGCAAACAGCTCAAAACATATACAAAAATTAACCCCTCTTTTCCTAACAGATCTGTATTTCCAAACTCAACACTGAGGCTTCTTGTTCGACTCAGAAATTTCACATATATTAAAACAAGTATATATATAAATATATATATATATATATAAAAAGAAAATATAAAAATATTAATTTATAAAAAACTATACGTACGTATACTAAAAAGAGGAATGTAAATTATAAAATTCGTAAAGACATGTAAAGTATTTAGCACACAAAGCATGATTACCCAAAGATAAATCTTAAAATTAGCTGTAAAAAGGAAAGAAAAAATACATTAATATTAATTTCGAAAATACATAAAAAAAACATTAACTATATAGCTATTTAAACCAAATTTAAAAAAATCAAAAATTATTAAAGAAAAAAAACTATTCAAGCATAGAAGCATACACAACAAGATAACGAGAAAAAAAAGCAAAAACAAAGAGCTCTAAGCCGCCTTTAATTAGTTATTTTTATAAAATTGAATGAAAACTAAATCGAAAAACAAAAGCAACTCAATCTCAAAAATTTATATATAATATTTAAAGCGAGGCAACTAACAAATGTAGCGAGAAAAATGAGTAGTACTAAACTCGAGAATTTTGTGTATAAACTTTAGGTTTTTTTATTTTTACACTACAAGTGACAAAATATGAAATTGATTTACGGTAAAAGCAAAGGAAATTGTATGCATAAGTAATTAGCAAAAGAAAAAAAAAAACACAAAAACCAATGGCAAAAATACAGTTAAATTAGTTAAGAATTGACAAAACAAAAAATAAACAAAAAGGAGATAAAAGAATATGCTTCTGCACTAACAAGCAAATATTTCTAAAGCCAAGCTAAACCATTTATAAGCTTAAATCGAGCAGTGGGCGTGGCACTTTAACTAGTTTCGTAGCAACTTTCGGCAGGCATTCCAAATGCTTTCGGCCAACTTCTGATATAAATTTAACTAAGGCGAACAGGTGTCCTGCATTTTTAGCAGTCGAAGCAGAAGATTGAGCAGAGCAAACAGCAGAATCCAAGCGAATCGAACACAAAACCCAGCAGAAGCACACGCATGTGGCACACAGAGCAAAATAGGTTGACAGGAAAGGGGCGGGCAAGGCAAGATAAAACTGAAATCAAGAAAAAATTGTAAACAGCAAATAATAAAATCAAAAAGTAAAACTCCAAGGCGTTTCAATGTGGGCCCATCCCTAGGAGCAATTCGTCACCTTAAAGGCATGCAGCACACATCTCCATCCAAAAGCATTCCCCACATACCCACCACACTCAAAACGCATTCACTCCCAAACACTCATCACGTGGTGATGGCAGCATTAAGTTCCATTTGCATTGCTTAGCATAAGAGGTTAAGGATTTGGCTTTAAGGCTTGTGCGCAAGCGAAACGTAAGCAAAGTTTAAGCTTAGCCACAAATTAAGTCACTAAATATAATAATATTTTATTATTCCTGCCAGGGAAAAAATTCTACTGAAAAATGGAGCGACGCGGGCGCATTCCGGTGGCCAAGTTTCGCACCCAGGAGGCCAAGACTCGCAGCCGGAGTCGCGTGCGGGAGCCTGACTACAACGAGCAGGACCCGGAGCACGATATGTTCACCTTGCTTGAGGATAACATTGCCCTGAGGGAAGAAAACAAGGCTCTTAAACTGGAGATCGAAACGCGTAAGTCCTTCTTCAGTATATATTAGAAGATATTATTGCAAAGTGTCTGAAATTTCCCTACGAAAAAATTTATGGTGGTTTTTCAAGATATTCCTTTAAAACGTTTATAAATAAAGCCTTTACATGTTATTTCTCTTTACAAAATACAAATCTCTATTAATCCGACAAACGTATTGCAGATAAAACCACACAGGAGGAGCAGCAGACTCAGCATGAGAAAATGTGCGTTGCGCTGGAGTCGCTACAACAGCAGCAGTCAAATTTTGAGACTCAAATCAAGGAGCTGAGCTCAAAGTTCAACAAGGCTCTTAATGAGCGAAATGCTTTAGACAAGCTGCACAAAATGAAAGTCGATCAGATTCACAGGTAGATTTTCCGATTTGTTAAAAAGGAATCATTTTATTGACGAATATCTTGTTTCATAGTCTCACCAGCGAGATTGAGCACATGCGCGAGAGGCAACAGGATCAGTCCCCTCAGATAAGTCCCCGTCCGGTTCTCGGATCCGTGGAACTCAAGCGAAAGCTTTTCAAGATTTTGCAGTCGGGCAGCGCAGACAGCGCTGATAGTATCGGTACTCAAGAGCTCGATAGCCTGGTCGAGGTCAATTCGGATGGCGTGCCTATTACCAGCGGCCTGGTGGAGCGTCTGGCCGATGAGTTCCTGACTCTGAAGCATGCCACCAACGCCGTGGAGCTCCAGTTGTACGAGGCCAACGAAAAGATGGCCGAACTGTTGGAACAGGTAAGATTGAAGTACTGGATAACGAAATAATAACACCTGATCGCAACTATATTTAGATATTTCTTATGTTGGATTGTAGATCACGAATGTATAATAACACGAGCAATGTAGTCATTGCATTGCGGTTCATTTAAAGATAAGCTTTGACTCAGCTCATGTAGGGCTCTAGTAAACTTTCTGTTCTTTGTCCCACAATTAGCAACACTCCCTGGAGGAGGAGAACGAATCGCTGCGCACGGAGAACAGCAACTTGACGAAAGTGGCTAAGTTGCTTACCGAAAACATGAAGGAGAGTGTGGAAACTAGCCAGAAGTGGGTTAATAAATGAATATAAAGGGGTAAAAGCGAAACTTAATGTACATCCCAACAGAATGGAGGCAGCTCTGATCAAGTTGAAGCAACGCAATGATGAACTCACGGCGAAGACACGCGATCTGACCGATGGGCAGCCGGGATCCAGAACCAGCACCTCGTCCAGCGTGCTGAACGAACAGGTGGAGTTCGAGCAGATCCAGGACCAGGTTCAGCAGCAGGCTAGGGAGCACAACGAGCGCATTGTGGAAATGGTTAGTCCCGAGTTTTCGTTACTCTATGATTTTGCACTTGGTCAATGGCTATCAAACTATCTATTCTGTCCTTCTGTCAATCCATTAGCAAACACGCAGCGTGTTTGACATTTTCAAGCCGCTCTCGAATATCTTCAAGAGCAACTGAACCACAACAAGAACAGCTGGTGATGGCGATTTCCCCAATGCACCTATATAATACGTTCTGAGAAATGCATGGAATGTGCCCAGCTGGGCATGTTGTTGTTCCCTAATCTTGGTGCCGGGTCAGGCCACCTCTCTTCACTTCCTCCACCAAAAAACCAACTGAGACACGTAAGCAGCTTGCTTGCCGTGCGCCGCTTTTTCCCACTCACTGACCCCTGGCTTTCGATGCACTAACCTGACCGTGATACGCCTTGATAGATCTACTAATTTTCTTACCCAACCACAACCCACTCTTTTCCCCCTCCTGCTCGCCCGCCCCGTTCTACCCTTGTTCTTGTTTCTTGCATTTGTAGCAAAGTCTAATGGATGCGGCTATAGCCAAAACTACTAACGATGAACTAAAAAAATTACAACTTAAGTTGGAGATTCTCGAGGAGCAGCTGCGCGAGGCAGTGACGCGGGCTGATCACGCCGAGGAGCAACTGGCGCGTTACCAGCAGTCCGAGCAAAAGTCGCTGGCTGCTCCGGTCGCACCCCCAGTTCCACCTCCCCCACCTCCGCCACCGCCCATGCCGGGCAAGCTTTTCGCTGCCGGCGGATTGGTGTCCGCTGGCGGGGATCACGGCGGGGGCAGCTTCAGCGACCACATTGCCGGACATTGCTTGCGCAAGGGCAGCGGCGACAAGATCATCGACAATGTGATGCATCAGGTACAGGCCGGGGCAGCAACAGGTATGTAATCCAATCCAGGGTCAAACTCCCTGTACTGTTTCAATAGGTTATATGGAGGGTGTGTGTGTGTTTCTGTTGGTGGGTTAAAGTGTCAATGCCACATTGATGACCGCACAACACGTTTCCTTTCGACCTTCTTGGCCTCAACTGTCATTGGGCGGCCGCGTTTTTTATTCTTTTAAGACCTTTCAAAAGAACTGGAAATTCAATAAAGTTTTGGAGCTGCTCGGCCGAAACTTTTGACCATTGTTCAAAATGTTCGCCTCCCAAGGATCTCGAGTGGCAGATGAACTCCTTGGGCACATGGTTATAAAAAACTATGCACAAGTTGAATAGACTTAAGCATACTTGAATGTTCGAAGCGTTTCATTGGCCTGTATCGATTTGAGTAGATTATTTTCCCTCTAGTTCGCCTGCATTGTCTGCACGAATTCGGGAAATTGGCCTGAAATAAGCTGTCAGCAGAAGGTTTCCCTCTTCCCAGCCCACTCATGTTACCAGCCATGTGTCTGCGGCTAATCCCTGCCAGCCGTGCGTTGACAAGTGCCTGCCATTGTCTCCGTGTCCTGGAGATCTGGTTGAAGGGTCCAACTTGTTGCCGTCAATTGTCAGTTATGCCCACGCCACTCATCCTTCCGCAAGAGCCCTCCATCTCTCCGCCCCTCGCACACGCAACTCGGCAACCCGTCTGCGATTGTAATTGATTTTACCTACACGTCGGCTTCTTTTACGGCTCAATGCAGGCTTTCACTAGCTGGCTTTCCGCCCAGCCTCCACTTTTGCCATTCACTGTCGACTGCTGCAGCAGCAACTTCTTAATTAAGTTTGCGAGCAGCTTTTTGAGAGGGACAAGGGCTCGGAGGAGCGGTTTTTGATGCCCTGGACACACCTGGTATCAATAGGAATTATTGGCACTGGAAGCGCGTTGTTCATTGTATGCCTTTCCTAGTCAGAAAATTTAAAACTTAAAGCGTGTGGTTTGGAAATGCCCCAAAATGTATCCTCAGTTATTTGTCTACATATTATTTGTAATCAGTATGTGTTATTGCGTGTTTTCCTTAATTTTTATCTTCAAAGATCTACCTTAAATTCTGGCACACAAATGCTTTAATGGCATATAACACTTGCAATAATGAATAAAATCCATTTACTATTCAATTCCCGATTTTGTCTCGCCTTCAGCCCGAGCGTAAAGATAGTGGAAGCTTAATTAGGTTTTGAATTTCACCCCTGCTTTAACGATGGATTACTGATTGCTATTCTTTTTGACATAATTTCATAATACATACATATAGCGCACAATGCGAAGCCAATGGTTGTGAACTATATAAAGGTATGTACCTCGTCGAGGCCGAAGTGTTTATTTTGATATTGCACTTGTGGGCCATCTTTGTCGTTTAATTTTCGCTTTTATTACAATTCTGATAAAACTCGAGTTGAACGAATCGATTTGATTCCAGTAATTTTAAACTGAGCTGTACACACGAAAACCGACTTTAAATCTAAATGCTGTGAATAGAGAAATCATCCGCCTGCACATGTCAATCCAGGCTGAGGGAGAAGCTCAATGAAAATGAAATCAACTCATACGCCCGCATCAAATTGAAAATATACCGGTGTACATTGTTGCTGAACTTTTTGTGCGTGTGTGCAGCAAGGCAGGAAATGCATGATTATATTTTATACCTTTGGCAAATATGTATATATATGAGATATTGATCCAGGAGCTAGGCTTTAATTTTCGGCTACAGCTTATTTAAATGTGATGATTTATTTCATGACTGTTCTTAATGAATCAATGTAATCCTCCGTTGGTCCACTTACTTGGATTAAGAACTTCAGATTAGGCCAGCAATGTCAGGGCCACACACTCCCACTCGCACACTTTCTCTGGCACTGCACACTGTCACTAAGCACTTCCGTTTCCGTTTTGTTTTGACGCTGGCTTCATTGCTGTTGCCTACTTTTTGGCGCGCACCACGCGTCGTATGCGTAACGAGCGCACATTCAAATCAAAATCAATCAACGCGCGTATTGTTGGAAGCCAGAAAAACGCCGCTACGAATACGACGACTTGTATATATATATTCGGATATATAATCAGATATATATATAGAGAACCTGGCTGCATAGCGCACCTTGCCTGCGGAGTGGAGCGGAGAACGCGCGCGCGTCTCTTGAGGCACGTGAAGCATTTGAGCTGCCAGCCAGCCCTACATCAGCTTTACGGCTGGGCATCAGGCGCTGCTCGTGTCCTGGCCGCACTCGTCAAGTCAAGCTCGTCGTCCTGCTCGGCGGGGAGGCAAGAACAAATGTAGCGTCCCTCACCGGAACGAGGTGGAGCGAAGCGAAGCGAGGCGAGGCGAATGGAAATGCCGATATTGTCCAAGCCTGGCTGTGTCGTGTGTATACATAACAACAAGTTGCTGCCATCGCTGGTGCGGCTGCCATGGCCACCAGATACCTGCCACCAGCTTCACTTTCTACGGAGGCCCGACCTCCATGACCTGCCCTGTTGGCGAATATACGGGCTTACGTGTGTGCGGTAGAGAACGGTTTAAACGAATTGTCTTTTTGGAGTGGGAGTAAGAGTGGAGGAGCAATAGCGGAAATTCCATCACGCATTTGTCAATATCCTGCCCGCCACTAAAGCTCTCTGCATCTCTGAGTGCCATTTCCGGTTTCATGCGATACGTTGAAAACTTAAATTTGATTTAAGTTTCGTCCGTGCGGTGCTTGGGTTCCGGAGAACTGGAGCAAAAGGCTTTTGCCTGGCTTCCATGCGCTGGCAACCCAAGAAACCTGCCTGAATTTGGGCTTTAAGTGAAGCACTCGCATTTTTGCTATATTTTACGCTTGCCTTGCAGCTTTATGTTTGTTTCCTGGCCCACTTCTCCGCCCAAAACTGTCAAGCCAGGACCGTATCAAATTCGACGACGATGATGACGATGGCGTAGAGGACGCAATTTATTATTTTTACGAGGAGGGGCCAAGCCATAGCACCGTTCCAGAACCGCAAGCCCATTGTTGCTGCTGGGCCGGCCATAGCTTATTATTATTATTTGTGCGTTTTATATTTCCGTGTTTTATTGCGCCACTTTTCCTGGCCCTGCCAGTCTTTTACTCTTGAACATACCCACTGAAAACACACACATCTTGGTCAGGAGTGGGAGACCGTATATTTCCATTGACTTCCGCCGGGGTGCAGCTTCATTTGTCGCCGGTGACAGTTGCCGAGTGCCCGACATGGTGCTCGCATCAACCCGTTCTGGCCTTGTCCGTGATTTATGTCCAATTGCCACCAGCCAAAAACACCCTTTTAAGTCCTGGGCTTACTTGATTTCGTGGGTGAGTATTGCCTGCTTCTTGGACCACGGTGTTGTCCCCCTCCCCTTAACAGCTAACCGCATGTTCGTTAAGCTTTAGTAGCGACTTAATGTAATTCCAGCTCAAAGCCTAGGTCTCATTCCTTTCCGTCTTTTTCTGTTTCAGGTCTTGACGCTTTAGTGCGAGAGTTCAAGTCGGGCGGCGTGACCCTGCGGAGGCGCAACCGCCGAAAGACGGGCACCAGCGAGGCCCTCAAGGAGATGTTCCAAGTACTAGAGATAAGTCAGAAGCAGAACCGCAACTCAAAGATATGCGTGGACCTGCACTCCGCCCGTGGAGTTGATGTCTAACCCCGATCCTGCCATCTTTCTCAACCACTCTCTCACACTTTGGTCTCAAATCTCAGGACCCAGCTGTCCCTGAACAACGAACATTCCGTGCATTTTCAAAACCGTATTATTGTGTGCCTTTTCAAGGAGGAAACCGAAGCCATTTTACAAACAATATTAATCTTAAGCCCAACTTTCGAAATGAAACTACTTCATACTACTTTAATTTATATAAACTATTATTTTACCTAACATTTTTTATTTATATCCAACTTTTAGCCCGACCCTGGTTAATGTGTTCATTTTAACAGGCTTCGCGTTTACTAATCAAAGAAACCCCAACAAAGCATTTTTAATAAAAAATTTTAATCAAATAAAATTGCACGGCGTGTTACTTAATTAGTCGCTGGTTTGGTAATTCGTTTTTGGACGTGCCTTTTTCGAAGTGAAATTCTGCTATTCTTCTGCGTATTTTTGGTTAATGCCCGCCCAGGGAATTGATATACGTTTGAAAACTTTGTACATGCTTAATTGTATTTTATTATTGCTTAATCTTTGGCCGACACACAGATCGTAAATTACACAGAATCCATTAAAACAAAATTAAACAATGATTTTGGTTTAAATTAAATATTTATACTCAAGTTCGTTAAAAATATTGTGCCGTATGGTTTCAGTGCAATAAGTTGTTCATATATAGTATTTATATAATCTTAACGAATATATCTCAACATTTAGTTGCTCTACATTATGGCTATACTGATTCATATCAAAACAGTGTAAATATTTGTGCGTTCTTCAAAAAATGTTCTAAAATTGTATCATAAAAGATTTCGTTTCACATTAATATTTCCTAATTGACTTGTTAGTAAACTTGTGCTAAAACCATTTTGGTTGCTCGTAAAATCGAAGATATGGTCATAGGTTTTGTGTATGTTAATTGCTATTGCATAAAGACTGTGGCACTTGTTTGCATACGAGACGTACAAAGTTCTTCGAATTGCTGATTTGAGCTTACATCTAACAACATCTGTACAACACACAGGTGTACAACATTAATTAATACTTGTGGAAGACAAGCAGTTTGGGTACGTTTTGAAACAAACTACACGACGAAATCCTTAACTAAACGAAAATGACATGTTCAACATAATATCATTTAAACGTAACCAAACACTTAACAGCATTTAAATATAATTATTGGAAATCTGAATACTAAAAACTAATGCGATCGTTTTTTAAGACACTTGATTTGGTAGGTGGTCGTAAGGTTGAGGCAAAGGTCGTTGCTGTTTTTGTTGCTGTGCGTACTACAGGATCGATGCCTATTATACATGTAGTAACAGAAAAATTTGGCACTCGACAACGGTTGAACATATATGGCGCTGCACTGGAAGCTTTTGGGGGTCAAACTCTCCCCTAGCTACCCTATGGAATGTGTTTGCTGTGGCGCGATGGCTTCGGCGGCGGCGTCGGTGGACGCGGCTTGCTTCCATCGACGGCACCCACCAAACTGAAGTTCGTGGTCTCCAAATACTCGTACATGGTGTTGGTAATACTGGTCTTCGTCAGGGTCGAGGTGGTACTCATGCTGCTGCTGCTTGTGTTGCTAATGGTGCTGAGCATTGTAAAACCATTCGGCGTCCAATCCATGTTTTGCGACAAGCTGGTGAAGTCGGTGGAGTCGCGTGCCTTTGCGGGCAACGGCGGTGGTCGAATGTCCTCCTCCGATGTGGAATCTGTGGTTTCTGAGGGGATATTAAATTGTATTAAAGTGTTAGATTGAAATTTTATTATTTATACTTACCAACAGAGTTGCGGTTGCTGCTCTCCGACAGCGAACGTGTATCGGGAAAATTCTTGATGCTGGCCGTGGGCGTGGCAATGCTGGCCGGGCGAGAGAGACGGCGTTCTTTCTCCATTTCCGAACGCAAAGGACGCTTGGGTGTCAGCTGTTGTTTACAATAAGGGGTTAGATAAAGGTATGACCATCGACCGCAACCGTGCTTACCTCCTCTGTCAGGATATGAGGATCAGGCGTCTTGGGGCCACTCAAAGAACTATTTGAAGTACTTGCCAGCGAAGCTATAGATGTGTTGATCTCCTTTTCGGGCGTAGACGTTATGGTGGACAATGGCGGTGTGTACCATTGACTGCTGGAAAAGCTAAGAACTTCACGGTCCTGTGGGATTTAACAAAATTAGTGCGGGTTGGACAAAAAGTCATCTTGACTTGCTTACCTTTACCTTTCCATCCTTGTTTCTCCGTTTGCCTGGAGTCTTATCCTTGTTCTTGTTGCTTTTAATGCTTGGCGAGTGTCCCAAACTGGGTCTGCACATAATGGCATAGGCAAAGTAAGCATAGACGATAAGCAACATAACGCAAATAAATAAACAAAACAAAACGAAAATGCAATTCAAAAATCAAACGAAATCAAAGTAATGTTAGAGTCTCAAACTAAAAGCCAGCGGTTAGCATGGAGGAAGAGTTAGAAAAGTTTTTGTTAGGGCGAGCATTCCAAACAACTCGGGATTTTTTATCGACACTCACCTTGTGTTGAAACTTAAGCTGGCCAAAGTATTCTTAATGGAATTGGTCTGTGGCCGCGGCAAAAATGTTGATTTCGATAGCCCGCTGCTGCAAATGTGAATAAATAAAGGGCATTAGTAAGAACCAAAAGGGAAAAGCTATCAGGACTTACTCTGAAGAACCCATGCTGGTCTCAGAGTGACGATTGTTGCTGCCATCGAAAAGAGGGGGCAGGAAGGAGTTGGGGCGTCGCATCACAACCGAATCTCGTTCGATTTTCAAGTCACAGGACTTGCAACCGTAACGCAACTCTACGTGCTGCTGCATATCGGCGAAGCATCCTTCCAGGTGGTCCTGCAGGGCCTTTAGACTATCCGGCGCCCGCATGCGGTGAAGCTTGATGGCTGTGTGGGACACAAAACAAAATATTCTATATTCTTTGAAACAATTCCCAGGGCCTTCATTACTTACCGATCTCCAGCAACGGGATCTGATTGGCAATCAGTTCCTTAAGATCCTCTACTAACTCTTTGTCGTCGGGATTCTGCTCTAGATAGTCATCGGTGAGGAAGGCCTCCTCGTACTTGGCGAAACCACCCATCACCGCAGGATCGACAATGCCGTTTAGTTTCATGGTCAGCGGATTGATGTGCAGTTTCTCGTCGCTTCTATACAGGATCACTAGCTGCCGAATATCGCTGTTCGTTTTCTTCATTACCTCCACCGCTGTTTCCAAGGGAGAGATCTTGAACGTGTTGGTCTCGATGACGGGGAACCAGCGCAGGATTCCCGGCAGGGGAAAGCGAATGAGCAGCTCAGTGCGCTCCAGCCACAAACTCCGAACATCGTCCCTGTCACCACCACTCAAACTGTCCCGGAAGGGACGCGAGAACTGGAACTTTTGCACGTTGTTGGCGGTGAAGTATTTGACAATTTCGTTGTTTATATTCTTTTCGTTGAATTTGTTAAACGCCGGGCCCATTATCGGCTCAACCTTGTTCACCTGGATGAATTGACCATCGCTGTTTGTAATGTCCTCGCCGGGAGCTTCTAACGTTTGCATGAGTTCAGCCTGTGGATGCTGAACTAGCATCCGAGCGCAGAAATCACTGTGCCGCTCGTACTCCTTGCCACGGAAGATATAGACGCGGTTCTGTAGGAGGCGCGGAAATCCCCGCCCAAAGAAGCACACCCGGAAGTACTCGGAGCTGTGGCGAAGCTCCTTGATGATCTTCTCGAAGAACAAAGCCATCCGCTTCAGGATGTCCGCGAGCTTGAGGTAGTCAAAGACTTCCTCCTCGTATTGCCGTGCCAGCACCCTGCACAAGTCGATTGCACACTCCCACTGCTTTCCCTTGTCAAAATACTCCAGGATCTCATAGTAGAGCTCCTCCTTCAGTTGGCGGTGGGTGCGACAGCTACTGTGCCGGTAGCTGCGCAGCTGTGGTGACAGTTCTGTGTCCGTCCATCGCAGCAACTCCGTGTGCAACTTGAGCGTAAAGGCCGCCTCCGTGTAGTTCTCGAACTCCATGTGCAGGGCGCACAATTTGTAGACATACCGGATGTACATCTCCTTGAGGTCCACCTCTGAGTAGAACTGCAGCAGCGAGAAAGTGCATGCCATTCGGTTTTCCTTACTCTCGTCCTGGATAATACAGCGGTACTCCAACAGCTTGTCCATCAGCCGGGTGACCATCTCTACAAAGGCGGTGCCATCCACATTAAGGGTGTTGTGAGCGGCGCAACGCTCCATCATGATTGTCTCAAACAAATGCTTGTACTCCGCATCTCCCTTGCCTGCTCCGATCAGGATGTCCAACTTTTCAATCATAGCTGTCTTAAAGTCGGAAAAGTTTCCCTTGTGGTGGGAATTATTGAACTTGGTGTCGCCATAGCTTTCCTGCTCCAGCCGGGAGCTGTAGTATTCGCACTGCATCATGTCGAAGAAGATGGGAATTGTCTCCTGGCGCAGTTGCCTCTCCGGTATCATGCTCATCTCCAGGATGGGCTCCACCAACCGCGAGACAAACATTGGCTTGTGCTGGCCGAGCTGGAACCACATCTTCCTGATCTCCATGGCCGTGTCTTTGCGGATGTCGCGGTATCGTGCAAACACAATCTGCCTTTTGTTGTCGTTGAAATCATTTAACTGTAACGGAGATTGTACGAGAAAGGCGATGGAACATTGGAAGAAGTTCGACCAGATCTGCTCCTCGAATGGATCCAGGAAGTAGTCCGTGATCACCACGGTGAGATGCTGAAGAGCTCCCAGAATCACAGTATTCTGGTGCATAATCATGTCCATCCAATCACGAGGAAACACTGCCTTCTGGTGCGGAGAGACCAGCTCCTGAAACACCAGAAGGATCTCAGTGACAAAGTCCTTTAGCTCGCCGCGCTGATGTAAATCCTTCACAAAGTACTCATAATGCTGGCCATCCATCCGCTGCAGGATTCCTAGCATGATTGCGAAGAATTTTCCCACTAATCCCGTGTCTCTGTCCAGGGCGTGAGCTGCCTTCATCACGGTGCGAAACAGGATGATCATAATGTCACGAATGTCGTTATGCGTGGCGCCAACATCCGACCGGAAAAGCAGTTTCAGTATGTTGTTCATAATGTTGATGCACTCGGCAATCTAACGATGGAAATATATATATTAAAAATGGTCATGATGGTAATGGAGGGAGCAAATCATCAAGGGATTGTAAAGCCAATTACCG